GTTCTGACCAGACTGATGAGTTAACGGTTCGTCAGAGCGAGGCCAGGACCAAAATAGATTCCTGCTGTCCCATAATATCTCCAATCTGAACACTTTAGTGCAATTCATGGGAACACTGCAACATATTTTGTAAAGCTTTCCTCATTATGAGGATATTCTAGCAGAAATACAATAACCCTGCATCCATGGTTGCACCGTAAGTGCTACAGCAAATTGCTGCTGCTCCTATTTGCAACTGTTAGTGATGATAAAATACTTAGTAACTGTGTAATACAAAAATCATAGAAGTGTAACGGAAATTTCCTGCTGTTATCTCATCAATCTAGTCAAAATTATATTTTTATGCAAAGTGAGGTTGTTCAAAGACCTAAATGTGTCCAAAAATATTATATTATTAACATATACTTTAATTAAATCACTTAGTGTGGAAGAGTCTGATGTTTAACAAATAGTGGATTTAAACCTTCAACCTGTTGTCATCAGGTCCTAAGTAAAACCTAAAAATAAACAGTAATGTATCTTTGTGTTTGGTATTATTTCTATATTTTGCTATAGTTTACTACTAAGTTATATAAACTTTATTTACAAACTTGGCATAAGTTGGTCAGAAATTTATATTCTGAATCTTTGAGGCTAATATATCCATACATCTTTTTTTTTTCAGGTGCATCAGTATTATAATTCACTGCCAGAAGAGAAAGTCCCCTATATTAACAGCCCTGGAGAGAAATATCGCATCAAGCAACTGCTTCACCAGTTGCCACCGCATGACAATGAGGTAAAACACACTTAGCCGCACAGATTTCCCATTCACGTGTGAAAACTGTGATTTTTCTGATAGGCTTTTACATTTTTATGCTGCCTGATGATGAGCCATCATGTTTCAGGTGCGTTATTGTAACGCGCTGGATGAGGAGGAGAAACGAGAGCTTAAGATCTTCAGCAACCAGAGGAAAAAGGACAACTTAGGGAGGGGTAATGTCCGTCCTTTCCCCCTCACCATCAGCGGAATGAGCTGTGAAAAGGTAAACATGACTAAATGTTGCCTCCCCACACTTCTGGACTTACTTTTAACTCCAAAAAATAATTGGTCGAAGTAGCTTAAAGGACTTTATGAAAACCTGTTTTCACCTTCCTTCTCATTAACTTGCAGTTTGTAATTATCTCACTCCTTATCGTTCTTTCATCTCCTCACTTTACTCCTTTCCTTTCCTTTCTTCTTTCCTTTCTTTCCTCATCTACAGTGTGGTGGTCAGATAAACGGAGGGGAAATTGTAGTTTTTGCTGCCAGGGCAGGGCCTGGAAAGTGTTGGCATCCTCGCTGCTTTGTCTGCTGCACATGTGAGGAACTGCTGGTGGATCTTATATACTTCCACCAGGACGGCAAAGTCTACTGTGGCCGGCACCATTCCGAGAGGCTGAAACCCCGCTGCTGTGCCTGTGATGAGGTGCGCCGGTCTGGGCTGGGAGCCTTTCAGGGTTGGAAACGGTTGAGCGGTTCACAAGCTCGCAGACTTGGTCTAAAATCCGTTTTGAGAGAAAAGATTTCTCTGAGATCTTGCTGTGTCTTCCCCACCCCTAAAACTAATAATTCTGACAACATTATGTGTCAACTCTTAGTTTCAAGTTGAAAGTAAAGTTAAATGAAATGCTCAAGCCTGAGAGGGTTTTTTTTCTGACTAACTTTCTCCCCTCAGTTCTTCTGAATTGAAAGACATTTGCTAGAACATCGATTTGAGCCATCACAATGGGATTAACCAAAACATAGTCAGCTGAAAGGCAGACACTAGTAATACAAGCTAAAACTTTTTCCCTGAGTAGTTTTCTTGAACTGAAACACGGTTTAGTTGCTCAGCTCAAAAGAAAAAGTGTGACAGAAGCGCAGCTATTGGAACACGTGTCAACTGGGGGTTAACAACGTAATACAAAATTTAAAGCATGTGGTGAAGTGCACAGTCTGGCCAATAAAAGATATATTGTAGATTTAGACAATAGCAATTTACCTTAATTTAATACCTGCATAGTCTGACAAATGCCAAAAATATCTTGTTTATGTGTTTCAAATTATTTATCAGATCAGAAATACGATCCAACCAAAAGAGTTTTAAGCTGAAGCAATGAAAAAAAAATTATAAAACTTTTTCAAGAAGGTAAATCAGAATTAAATCTGGCCAAAACATTATATTTCAGTTATATATTGGTGTACTGTTGGCCACAGACATCTGTGTGGTTTTCTTATGAATAAACAGACATGTTTTATGTGCTGCAGGGAGTAGATTATTGGCCATTTATTTTGTTATAACAAGCAACAAACACTATAACAGTGTAGATAACTTTCTATAGTTTTTTACCTTCTATCTGAATAAATTTAATTAGATGATTCTTCATTGGTTCCTGTTTCTTATCACTTACACTTACAAAAGTCAGGTCATTTTTAGAGAAAGTCTCAAGCTCAAATATGCCTGTTTTTTTTTTCTTCTTTAGCTGTTATCCAACATCAGAAGTGTTAATTGTAGGAGCTGAGTGCCTCATTTTCTACATTGAGCAGTTTGACTTCTTCGAGCCTTGGATAATTATTAATAATCGACAGAATTAGAACAGACTGGGAATAGGGGAAAAAAACTTTGCAACATGAAAGAAGAGGTTGCTTTAGGTCATGAGGTGAATTGTTAAAAAACAAAACAAAAAGTCTTGTTGCAAATTATCTCATGAAACTTGTTGAAAATGATTCCAAATGTTTTATATATA